CTTTCTTATTTAATGCTATCATTTATTAAAAGCCTAACTTTTGATAAATATTACATAGACACCTTAAATGCTTTTATTATTCCATTTAATCTTCACACCAACTCAGCAAATGAGGTATCGTTCTCTCTGCTTTATGGATGGATCAACTGTGATTCTGAGAAATTAACATTAATTCAAGTTTGGTTTGTCTCCAAAGTCCATTTTCTTTTAAGTTGTAGTACCTCGTTTTTTTGTTTTTTGTTTTTTGATATGGTTAATGTACAATTACTTGAACATTATGGTTACTAGACTCCCCCTATTATCAAGTCTCTACCACGTACCCCATTACCGTAACTGTCCATCAGCATAGTAAGATGCTATAGAATCATTACTTGTCTTTTCTGTATACACTGCCTTTCCCATGTCTGCTCCCCCCAACTACATTATGTGTGTTAATCGTAATGCCCCTTTTTCCCCTTTATCTCTCCGTTCCCACCCATCCTCCCCAGTCCCTTTCCCTTTGGTAACTGTTAGTCCATTTTTGGGTTCAGTGAGTCTGCTGCTGTTTTGTTCCTTCAGTTCTTTCTTTGTTCTTATACTCCACAGATGAGTAAAATCATTTGATACTTGTCTTTCTCCACCTGGCTTATTTCATTGAGCATAATACCCTCTAGCTCCATCCATGTTGTTGCAAATGGTAGGATTTGTTTTCTTCTTATGGCTGAATAATATTCCATTGTGCATATGTACCACATCTTCTTTATCCATTCATCTACTGATGGACACTTAGGTTGTTTCCATTTCTTGGCTATTGTAAATAGTGCTGTGATAAACACAGGAGTGCATTTGTCTTTTTCAAACTGGGCTGCTGCATTCTTAGGGTAAATTCCTAGGAGTGGAATTCCTGGGTCAAACGGTATTTCTATTTTTAGTTTTTTGAGGAACCTCCATACTCCTTTCCACAATGGTTGAACTAGTATACATTCCCACCAGCAGTGTCGGAGGGTTCCCCTTTCTCCACATCCTTGCCAACATTTGTGGTTGTTTGTCTTTTGGATGTTGGCCATCCTAACTGGTGTGAGGTGATATCTCATTGTGGTTTTAACGTGCATTTCTTTGATGATTAGCGATGTGGAGCATCTTTTCATGTGCCTGTTGGCCATCTGAATTTCTTTAGTGCCCCATTTTTGAAAAATTTCTCCCTGGTTTTCCATATCTTTATATCACTACCTAAGGTCCTCCTACTTCTCTGACTTTGACTCTATTTTCTTTCCTATTCTTCCTTCTTCCCATCACTGGCTATATCTGGATATTTCAAAAAGTACCGAATAAATTGTTCAGTTGAGAACACAGTTAGAAACACAATTCCAAATTTTATAAGATCAAATTATTAATAATGTCAGCATATTATCACTACAAAATAAAATATGCAGAAAATGCTGACAAATAGAACAACCAAATATGGCAGCCCCATCCACTTCAGACTCAGAAGATCACAGGATTGGGACCTAACTACAAATAATACCCTAAATGACTCCTTTCCTTTCAGAAAACATATATATGTATATATACACAAACCTGAAAGAAGCCCCTTCTGACCACAGTCCTTTTCCTACTCCACAAGTGCATTAATATTGATGTTTTAGAAAACACGAGTCACCGCCAAATAGCTGACATTATCCATCAGATGTTCTTTAAGGAAATTTTTCTCCTGACAACTCCAGCATGAGATTACAGTAGATAGATAGATGATAGATAGATAGATAGATAGATAGATAGATAGATAGATAGATAGACAGACAGATCACTATCATGAGCAGGATAGGCACATGACAAATTTTCACCAAAATGAAGACTGAAAATGGCACTCCTATAGCCCTAGACCGCAAATTCATTGGCATGGCAAGAAGTTGACAAATAGCACACTAGTGTGACTTCTCTTTTTACGAAGGGCATTATATGGTTTATAAATTTTATCTCAGAGAAACATCACATTAAATCGTAATGTTTTCATTACTTAACATTCTTCAGTTCCTTTCACAATATGAAATCTCCAAAATTAAGGTCATGTGGGTCAACAAGACTTCTTTTAAAATTCAAGCATTTGTGTAAGAATAATTCACTACCAAAGGAATTCATTTTATCAATCTGTTTTACTCCTTATATCTAGCTGCAATACTGGGCACTAAAGTGACAGTTTTGCTGGATGGAGGAAAGCAGGAAAGGCTAATTTTGGAGCCCTGAAGAAGAGTGATCAATAGGAGGGCAGTGTGATCAGACAGTTATGGGAGAGACTGAAAGTGGAAGAGGGTATGGGAAGGAGAGCCTGAACACAAAGATAAATGTGAACTGGGTTTCACAACATGGTCAGCATCCCAATCTGCTCTAAATTTGTACTTACACAGTACTTAGTATGTATCAGGCACAAGATTAGGTCCTCATTTAATTAATATTAGGTACTACTTTTATCCCTATTTCACAGTTGGAAAACCAAAGCATAAAAGAGGATGAGTATATTCCAAAGCTTCACAGCTAGTTAGTAGCTGTGCTGAGATTCAAACCCAAGCACCATTTCATAATCATAAGTTATTCTGATTTTACACAACACACACTCTAGAGCAGGGGCTCTCAAACTTGATTTTTAACCAGGACCCCTAGTACCAATGTACATGACCCAGTACATCAAAACATAAGTAAGTGAAACAAATTTTGCGAAATAATACTCTTACCAGATACAGTGTGTTCAGATCTTTCCTATTTTATTTTTAAAACTGTTGATTGCAACTAGTAAATTGACTTTACAAACCTCAATGGGTTACAACTCACTATTTGAAAAACATTACAGACTGGGGCTACAAATGATAATTTAATATCTCCACTTGGATGTTTGACAGATACTTCAAACCAGTGGACAGTCATCTTCATTGCATCTACAAACCAAACTCCTGAATTTCACCCTCCAATCCTACTCCTTCCCTTTTCTTCCTCTCTCATTAAATGGCAGCTTCCTCTGCACTGTCCATATGGCAGTCACTAGCCACATGATGTTATGGAGCATTTGAAATGTACCTATCAGAATTAAGACATGTTGGAAGTATAAAAAAGCATACAAGATTTTGAAGACTTAGTATGAAAAAAGAATCTAAAATATTAGTAACTTTTTACACTGATTGCATGTTGAAATAGTGTTTTTGATATATGGAGTTAAATAAACTACATTGTTAAAATTAATGTCACCTGTTTCTTTTTACTATTTTTATGTGCCTACTTGAAAAAGGTTAAATACCTATCTGGTATATTGTATCTCTATTGGACAGTATTCTGGTTGCTCATGCTAAAACCCTTGTAATCATCTTTGACTCTTTTCTTTCCATCAGCACATTGTGTAGGCACTACCTTCAAAATAGATCCATAATTCAACAACTTCTTGCCACCCACATTCTTCCTTGGGTAACTGAAATAGCTTCTTAACTGGTCTCCTTGCTTCCTCTCTCACCACACCCTATGGTTTATTTAGCTATTCCCTATAACATTGCTGAGTGATCCTTTTAAAAGGTCTATCAGAGTATGTCACCTCCCTGTTCAAAATCTCCCAACGGCTCTTTTTCATAGAGTAAAGGTCTAAGTCCTTGCAATGGCCTTGGCCTTAAAGTCTAAAGTCTTACAAGATCTGGCTGTCCACTCCACTCCATCTCTCTGCCCTAATTTCTTAGCCATTTTCTTCTTCACTCAGTTACAGTGGACTCCTTGAATTCACCAAGTATGCTCTAACATCATAGCCTTTGTACCTCCTTTACCTCTGTCGGTAGCCCTCTACCCTGGATATCCTTTCTCCTTTCTGTTTGGGATCAAACGCTGATTTACTAGCAAGTCCTTTGCTGACTATAGTATTTTAGAATAGCAAACTTTCCTCTTGGGACTCTTCCACACTTCCCCCTTTTCTCTTTTATTTCTTACAACCTGTATTATCCTATGTAGTTTACTTATTTAATTTGTTTATATGTCTCCGACACATAAAATGCAGGAGTTCCATGAGGGCACTGTCTTTGTTTCACTTCATTCCTAGTAGCACTCACATGCCCAGTAAATTGTAAGTGTTCAGTATTAACACTGTTGAATGAATACATGAGCTATGGGTTCCCAAACTCAGTTTTGGACACTTAGCAATTAGTCACTCTCAGAAATCTACTGAAACAAACATTTCGGTATCTTTAGTTTTTAACCTATTACTATTCTTGTACCTACAGTAATTCCATGATAGAGAAAGCAAGACTCTCCCTATACTTCAACCCTTTTGTTCATTTTCTCATGGTCCTTAGGTACCCTCAAAAAGCTCTGGAAGATGTGTTTTCTTTTCCCTCTGGAATAACATTTCCTCAGACATCTGCCCCACGTCCTGAATTTCTGGCCTAAAATACATGCAGCTATGGCCAAAACAGATTCTTAATCTCAGATGATCTTCAGTTGAACATTGTACTTAGTGTACATTAGGTACAACCAGACGTTGTAAACTTTCGGGGTAAGCTCCAGATTGTTTCTAAACTGGCCACACTTCACCTACCTAGGCCTTCCGTGTCTGCATTCAGGAAGAAGCGTTCTGTCTGTTAGGACGAGATGGGACATGTGGAGGATGAAATGTCAGCGATTGCAGCCAAGCTCCTTATTTTAGACACGAGAGAGTCAGGTCTCAGAGAATTTAGACGAAATAAACTCAGGCAACGTTAAAAAAAAAAATCAAGACACAAAACACATCGTGGTAAAAAAGGTACAAGATGCCGAGCCAAGTCGTTTGCTTCCCACCATTCAGCCAGTCCACAAAACGACCCTGCACTGTAGCTCAACCTAGCTTACAGCCTTCTACCGCAGCATTTTATTGCTCAACCACAAACATGCAGGCTGAGAACGGAGGGTAACAGCCCGGCCGTCGCACCTCGCTCGCGCGGAGTAAGAGCAGCCCGCCGGTGCCGGGGCCCACACTCTCGCGAGACTAGTGATCGGGGAGAACTGGTAGGAGCCTCCCGGAAGTGGGCGAGGGGACCTGTCAGCTCCTACCCCGGGCCTGTGCGCTCGCGGCGCCGCGGGGTCGAGGGTTTCCTCAGAGACCAGCAGGGGGCGGGGTCACGGAGAAGCTAGCTGCCACTCACACAGCAGCCTCCGCCCTGTCCGGGCTGTCGCCGCCCCTCCCTTTGCCCTTCACCGCGCCCGGGCCTCCTTGTTTGGGGCTCCTTTCTGCAGCTAGGCAGCTTGCCCTCCCCTTTTTGCTTGCTTCCCGACCCCTCCCCCAACTCTGACACCAGAGTCGCGGTTCCTGCAGTGTTCCCGAAGCCGCACGTATAACTCGCTGGGTGTAAGTGCTAGGAATGCCGCCGGCCTCTCCGGGAAATGCGTTCTTTCTATCTATAGCTCTGTACATTCTATGTCTACAGCAGTTATTCCAGGGACACCTGCTTCCCACTTGTCATCTCCCCATTGGTGGCTTCCGACCCGAATTTGGGAATGGGGAGCTCTCCCACCTGTTATCTTTGAGCAGACTAATCTCCTGTAAGCAGAAGTGCCATTTGGAGTCTTCAAAGCCTTTTGGCTTGGGACTTGGAATTTTCTCCCCACCCAACTCCAGGCTTTCCAAAACGTATTGCTTTTCTCTGAGAATGCTTCAATTTTTTGCTGTTTGTTTCAATTGTAAGAATCTGTAACAGAATATTTTTGCTTCGGTGTTAACAGCGCTCGAAGGGAGGAAACAACAATCAATTTCCCTTTTCTGGTCTTGTATTTATAAGATTCATTCTTTCTCTTTGTTCTGCTAGGGTTAAAACACTTTAAGAACATGTAAGTGTAGCTGTCAGCCTTAGAGAATTTAAGATAAAAGTTACTTTCTCTCTCTTAATTCCTTTTTGTTTCATAGGGATAACGCATTCGATTTCAGAGTCCTTCTAATTCCTCTGAATGATTTCAAATTCTCCAGTAGCCAAAATGGGACACAGTAAACAGATTAGAATTCTACTTCTGAACGAAATGGAAAAGCTGGAAAAGACCCTCTTCAGACTTGAACAAGGTCAGTAGCAAGTTACTTGGTTAGCTCTGTGTCTTTTAAATTTTTAATTCGATGTTACATTAAATTTTTTTTAGCTTCAGATATAATTTCCATGGGCCTTCTTTCTAAACTTCATTTATGCAAGGATGGTGCTGTGTTCTAAAAATATCACTAATAAAAGTTTATTTTAGTTGAAAATATTTTATATGTAATGTTAGAGCAAGGATAAAATAGTTCACTTTTCTGTGCATGCAAACTTCCACTTAAGACAGAAGTTGCATATATGATCCCAATATTGACCATGTTATTTCTATTAGCATTTATTATTAAAGCTTGTTAAATTACTTCATATATAATTTTACTGTGGATGTATTTGTAGTTTTGCTTTTTTATAGCTCTTTTCTTTATGAGAACTTTGAATTAGTAAACTAGATCACAGCAAAAAGGAAACCATTACTTACGTTTATCAAAAGTCTCTCAAATGTGGAGAAGGTAAAAGCTGAATTTTTTTTTGGCTGAATAAAAAGTGAAATAACTGATCAGGTTATTTTAAAATATATTTGAGCTGTGAGTTAAAGGATCAAGTTATATTATTATAAAACTAAATAGATGCTTTATTTTTTTAGCCTGTTAAGTTTCAACATCTAAATACAGTTCACACTCATTTATGTTAATATAACTTGTGAAAAATAAAGTACAGTCTCCTTTATTAGCATGTCAAATGGACATTGATAGAAGTAAACATTTTGATGGAATTTTTTTCCCCCAATATCTCAAGAGTTAAACTTTAAAAAAAAATTGAACCATCAGGTGTGTTATGTCCACATTAAATCTTCATCTTCTTCTGACTTTAGTATGTAAAATCACTGAGAAATATTCCATTTTTGGCTTTCCTGACTCTGCACTTTTCTTGTTTTGAGTTTTTTCCTAACCTCCTGAGTACTCCTGTCGACTTGGTGGTATCTCTTACTGAGCACTTTTTCTTCCACATTTTAATTAATTGTGTGTATCTACAAGCAATTCTTTCTTTTTCTCTTCTCTTGCCCTCAAAAAATTATACATTCTCATGGCCTCAGCTCTTACCTCCATGCTGATGACTCCTTTGGGAAGAAGGGCCTTGAGCTTTGCTTGCTTCTTGGAAGCCAGCGAGTATAATGGCAAAAGTAGGGGACTAGAATTTTCCTGGCTCTGCTGCTAACACATTGTTAAACTTGGGTGAGTGACATTATTTCTGAACACTAATTTCTTTTATGAAATGAAGGTTTTAATTTCTGCTCTTCTACCTTCTACCTTCAAGCTCAAAATGAATAGTAATGGCTTTAAAGCCCCAAAGAGATATAAGGCATTGAGATAATTAGATCTATTGACAAATAGATATGAGGTTACTCTACTTATCTGTTCTCACTCAGGAGTCTTGGCTTCATCCTGGTGTTATGCTGTAGAATAGCCTTAGGGTAGCTCTCCTTGGATGTGCCTAAGTCTAACATCTCCAAAACATCTCCTCCACTTTCTCAAACCTCTTTATTTCCCAGCTTCTCTGTTTATTTCAGTGCTGTCTCTATTTCATAGTTTCCAAGACCAGAAAATTTGTAGTCTTCTTTGATCATTTCTTCTCTTTAACTGGAATCTCTCTTTAAGCCCTATAATTTTTTTCCAAATGTCTCTGCTTGCCTGTCTGTCTCTTCTATATGCTTGAATGTAGATGCTAGAATAACCTCTTCCCTTTTTATTAATTGGTGTCTACAAAGTCGAATTTAAACACCTCTGGCTGGCTTCCAAGACATTCTATAATGAAATCCACCTTCCCTAACCAAGACTGTATCTCATGTTCTGCATTATTAGTGTCCTACATCTTTACAGCTCCCCTGTTAATTCCCTCCCCAGTGCCTTTTCCCATGCCTGTTCTTAAAGCCTCCACTTCTGCCAGATTCCTCTCTATATATATTAAATCCCTTTACTATCATTCTGTGTGTTACCAACTTTCAGCTAAAATTCCACCTACCCTGTGAAGTCTTTCTTGAATTTTTTGTTATTTTCTATCTTTGATTTCTGATTATACAATAGACACTGAACAATTAAGTGCTGAGCATTGTAGCAGTATCTAAAAGCTTGTTAGCCCTTTAGTGTCCAACCAGACTTTAAGATCTGTGAGGATAGGAACAGTATTAGAAACCTAGTGCAATGTACAACAGGTAATAAACCCCTGCTGATTACAAAAATACGAGTTAAAGCTAGCAAAAACTGTAAATTTTGTCAAGCTATTTGAAGAGGGAATCATGATTTATAAAATAAGAATGATGTGGTTGACTGTAGCTCTAATTAAAACCAAAAAGTTCATCCAAATTATATAAATGGGAACATGTCAAATTTTTTGTGTGTGTGCAGAAATTATGTGATCATATTTTGGAAGATAATTGTAATGTGAAAGATGGAAGAGAAGGGACATTGGAGACAAGAAATCATTGAGAAAGCAATTTTTAAGACATGTCCGGTTAAAGATAAGGGTTAAACTACATCAGAGCTGGAAAAGAGGTGAAAGAATATGAGTGAGACATTTTAAAATTCATGGGACTTGATGAACAATTAGGTGTGAAGAAAACTGCCAATTTTAGTTCTCCCATATTTAATTGGTCACCAAGCCCTTCTTCATTTCTCCTTTTCCTTAAGAAAGGAGTTCTCCTCATTTTCTCTATAGATTCATCTAAATCAACAAGTACAAGACCAAATAATTATCTTTTCTAACCAAATCAGTCTTTCCCTGTATTTTTTATTTCATTTAGTGGCAGAATGATGAACAAAATCAGTGTTCCCCAAACCTGGAATCTTTTCATCTTTTATATAGTTTAGTCAAATTTCAGTTTTTATTCTTTTTTTAAAGAAAATACTTATGAAGATTTCTTGATTAGGAGCTCGAGTCTATATAAATTGAGTGGAGGGAACAAGATAGAAAAATGTAGTTTGTAGAAATAGTTTAATCACCTGTCTTGCTAGTTCCTTACAAGGGGGATATGACTAATCTGAGTAAAGTATTCCTAGCATTAGTTTGAGGGATAAGATAACCACACCATGTACTGCTATGACCTAAGCTAATTTTAGAAAACTGAGTTATTAATTATGGAATCTGGCATACTCTGGGTATTCTAATGTTTCATTTACTATATGTAAAAATTTTAGTTTCAGAAATTTAGATTATAGGTCTACAGAGTGGCTGTGTACCCTTGTGGGTATATATAATATGATCTACCTATTGGGACATAGAAATAAAATTCAGGACTTATCTTTCTTTTCTTTCACTATCTTTCTACCTGTTTTTGTTTACTAAAAGTAATTAAATTTTGCTGGCATGTGTATTGACATTGATGCTCTCAGTTTGTCTGTCAGATGAGTTGTAAACAAAAAAGACATTCTGAGGAAGGAGTGAAGTTTTAGGCCTAGAAGGGAATGACAGTCACACCCTCAGTGGTTTCCTTGCAGTATGTTGCCATGGATACACTTTTACCTAAGCTAGTTAAGTAGATATACAAGTTACATTATCTCAAATAGTAAAGTCTTCACAATACTTTCTAATGAAAGATAGAGTAACCATAAATGCTTTTTACCTAGAGAGATTGTCAGAATTAAAGTTAGAAAGTATTTGAAATTTGCTGTTTGAGATATGTTCTTTGAAGGAATGACACATAGCTTTCAATAGTATGATACTTAGAAAATATTTTCAGAAAAAAATAAACACAGTTTAACTCTGAGGTAAATATGAGTAAAAATGTTAAGTATCTTTTGATGGAAAGTGATGCTATAGAGTAGAGTTCAGCACAGTATTTCCTGTAAAGGTTCAGATTTGCAGCCCATATACTTTCTCTTGCAGCTACTCAGCTCTGCCAGTGTACTGTGAAAGCAGCCAGAGACAGTACATAGTACATAAATGAGTGGGTGTGACTGTGTTCCAATAAAACTTTATTTACAGAAACAGTCTGGATATAGTTTGCAGGCCCTTGCTATAGCAAGAGCATTTTGAGTATGTATTTTTAGTAATATTTCTATCATATGATTTTATCCATATAAATGAGTATCTGCCCACTTTAAAAAGTTGGTTAACAAAATTTTCTACTGTTTAAAATCTTCCAAATAAAGGATTCCAGTTGGTTTGCAAATTATCTAATATATAAATATGGAATATCTTCTAATTAGCTTGTAAAAATAATTGGTGTATGTCAGGAAAATACATATTTTGTAGTACATTACAGCAAATATCTTTATATAATCTTTGAATGGGATTGAAAAGTTATGGATGGATTCATTATAGATGACATTAGTAAAATTATGTCATGAATTTTTAAACAGCCACCAAAAACGTCTTCCATTTAGACTTGGGTTCTTTGTGTGCTATTTTTTCAAATCTAAGGCCATTAAACCAAGTATAATATAAGTAGAACTTGGACTCTTTAAGTTATACTATCACAAAATACTAAAACAAGACTTTCAAAATTAATGAAAATTATTTAAATCACATTGCTTTCACTGACAGATGTTATCAATATTAATTTGTAGTGAGAGCTAAAAAGTATTTTCTATCCATTAATAAATAAAATTAGTTATTTAAAATATTTCATTTACATCTTACCCTTTTTTATGTCTTATACATGTTATTAAATCATCATACATGTGTATTATATAAATAAATACTCATATTTGGAGAATGCTTGTTATTTTATTTCCTGAAGGTAGACCACTTATTCAAATACTGTTTTAGAAATTTTGGGTGATTTTTAACCTTTGTACTACAAGTTCTGTGAATCTTTGCGTAATTATAAAGACAAAGTTTGTATAAACTGAGCAGGGGATAGGTAAATATGTTCAGACAACTAATATCTGATATTTGTACTTGTTCAAAATGATACCACTTCTTTTGTAATAAATACAACATTCTTGTAAAGAAGTAGATATTTATGATTCTCACAGTTACTAAGGATTAAACATTCATGTTTTTATGTAATTTAAAATTTTAATTCTGTAGGCAGTTATTT